GTGAAAGGGTGGAGTCTGCAGTGGTTGGAAGTTGGAGGGGATTTTTCTGCCAGTCTGCTGGCGTTTAACTGGGAAAGGCCATTTTAAATGGCTGCTACAGTACATCTGAACGCTCCTGCTTCTAAAGCGGCGCTCAGACTGACGGCTGAAGTTCATCAGTTTCACTTTCTCCTAAAACTAAAGCAGCAACGATAAAGTCCGTTTATCGCTCTAAAAAACAATCATAAATGAATTTAGCAGAAGAAATTTAAAAGGAATGTCACTAAACTCTCCCTGCAGCACAGAAGCTTACATGAAAAATGGAAAAGTCTCCATTATGAAGAAGATATAGCCCCCCCACCCCCCTACTATCATACATACAGTCTGACTCAGCCTCTTTAGGCCTCAGAGGGAATAAAAGCACTTTGGATGTCACCCTGAAGAAGATGCATACATGTTTCTGTTGCTTCAAAACACCGCTGCCCTGAAATAAAACATCCAGTTCATACAGAACCCCCCCTCCCGCCCTGCAGATGGAACAAGGATCGTCCATTAAGCTGCCAACTAAAGGCAGCGACAGGAGCTGATCTCAGAGATACGCCGCTGGGGCTAATTTCATCGATTAGTGTCGCTCTGCTCCTCCGGCGAGGAGCGAGTCCTCGTCTGTCTGCTAACGAGATGAAGGGTGGAATCGTGGATCCAGCGGAATGAGTAGCGCTCCAACCATATAGACATTTAATTAACTCTCCTTCTGAATGTGAATGAGGAGAGAGGAAACCTTGCTGTCCTGGCCTGATCCCTGCAGCCTCACGTCTCTGACAACCTGCAGGATGAAGAGTCAGAAAGATGGAGGTGTGGATTTACTGGGCCGCCTGAGTTCATCTAGAGGAAGGAAATTAGCTTCCTCTGGAAGCTCTCTGAGATGCTGCGAGTTTTAGACACATCTTGGCCTGACAGCACCCTGGAAAATATGTACATCTCAATAAGCAATTTTTCTTAAAATAAGTGCATTTGTTCTTGAATTGAGAAGGTAAAAGAGACATTTTGCCAATGGAACAAGATCATTTACATTTAAAACAATAAAACGCAATTGCATTGTCTTATTTTAAGTGCATTTTATCTACATTTCTTATTCTAAGAGTAAAAATACTCACTCCATTACTCAAAAAAAGGGTAAATACTCTTAATTTGAGAATTTTTTACTTATTTCTAGATCGTTTTTCCACTGTAAGTGTGAAACTTTGCCAATGGAACAAGACAATTTACATTTAAAACAATAAAAAACAATTGCATTTTCTCATTTCAAGTGCATATTATCCAATTATCTTATTTTAAGAGTAAAAATATCTCATTTACCTCCTCAAATCAAAGGTAAATACACTTTATTTGAGAAATGTTGACTTATTCCGTAGTTTAATTATTTAATTTTTGCAGTGCAAACATCTGGGACATCCACTCCACTGTAAAAAAAAATCTAGAAATAAGTAAAAATGTGTTAAATTAAGCATATATACCCTTAATTTGAGTAGGCAAATAAAATGATTTGCCAATGGAGTGAGTATTTTTACTCTTAAAATAAGATAATTAGATAAAATGCACTTGAAATAAGATAATGTAATTGTGTTTTCTTATTTTAAATGTAAATTATCTAGTTTCATTGGCAAAATATCTCTTTTATCTCCTCAATCAAAGAACAAATGCACTTATTTTAAGAAAAAATGACTTATCTAGATTTTGATTTCTTCCATCTGGTCTTTTGGTGCTAAGCTCAAGTATTTCTCTAAAAGAAAAGCTGTTTTTCCCCCCTTACACTACCTAGCGGATGCTATAGTTTAGCATCCGCTAGGTAGTGTAAGGTATATGTAATTTGTTTTCTTTAACCCTTTATAGGCCACTCAGTGAAATCCTTTGAAAATCCACGCTTCAAGCCAATAGTGTTTTAGGAATCCAGGACAAGACCTTATTATCTTTGTAACATTCTGTTGGCAAAAATGAATGTCAGTGTAATAATAAGAAACGCCAACTTGCCCGAATATATTAGGAAAAATAACAAAAATAATAAGAAATGAATGAAAAACACAAAGAAACAGGTTTTTTTGGTCCAACATTACCTTACAGGCATTAATGCTGATACTGGCACTTAGATTTTTTAATTCGTAATCCTAAATATAATTGTTAACTAGGTTTAATTTTCAATTAGATTTTTACCTTTTTTTTTTTACTTTTTAATTAGCTTTTTACGTTTTTTGACTTTTTAATTAGCTTTTTTCCTTTTTCTTGACTTTTTAGCTTTTTAGGTATTTTTACACTGGAAAAAATCTAAATCTAAATCAGTCATTTTTTCTTAAAATAAGTGAATTTGTTCTTGGATTAAGGAGGTAAAATTGACATTTTGCCAATGGAACAAGACAATTTACACTTTAAATAAGAAAAAAAAGTTGCATTGTCTTATTTCAAGTGCATTTTATCTAATTATCTTATTTTAAGAGTAAAAATACTCATTCCATTGGCAAACTACCTCATTTACCTTCTCAAATTAAGGGTAAATACACTTAATTTAAGACATTTTTACTTATTTCTAGATCGTTTTTCCAGTGTACCTTTTTTTTCTTGACTTTTTAGCTTTTTAATTAATTTTTTTACCTTTTTTCTTGACTTTTAAATTAGCTTTTAACTTTTTAATGAAGTTTTACCTTTTTTTAACTTAATTTACAGAAGGTGTATATGATATATTTATCATTTAAGGGCTCATCTAATTGGTCAAATGCCAAAATAAGATGTGCAGCCATGTAGCAGCATCTTTGCTGAATGGCTGGATATAGATCTAGTGCTTCTAGACTTCACTGAGGGATGGAGGGCTACATTTGTAAGGGGTTTGCAAGTGATCTAAAATGGTAACTTGCCCTATAAAGTGTTAAATAAGGACCCATTTAAGCCTCTCCTCCAAAAAAAATAAATAAAACTAAATAAAAAATAAAAAAATCCCAATAATAAACCTATTGCTCCTTACCTGTCTCTGAATGGGCATCATTCTTCTGCAATGGACCTGTTTATGACTCATTCTCAGTTTACTTTTAATATTTACTCCTAAAATCCCTCAAGCCTTTTGTTTCATCTTTCCTTTTTCTCTGTTTTTCTGTTCTTCTGAAAACCTGACATTTGGAGTGAAATGAATGTTAAACGTTGCAGCTCGCCGTTGGTCTGATCAAACCATTTTATGTTCGGTGCACTGCAAAACCTTCTGCAAATGAATAAAAAATTCTTAAAATAAGTGTATTTATCCTTAATTTCAGTAGAAACATAGGATGATTTGCCAATGCAATGAACAATTTAACCATTAAAATTAGATCATTAGATATTATCAACTTAAAATAAGAGAGAGAAGTTGGGTTTTTTCTGTCTTATTTTTTTCTTATTCGATAAATTGTCTTATTCCATTGGCAAAGTGTCTCACTTACCTGCTTAATTCAACAAAAATGCACTTATTTTAAGAATAAAATGATTTACTTGGATATACATTTTTTGCAGGGCCCTTCAGCCCTTATTTAAGAAAACAATTACATATACCTAACACACACACACACATATATATATATTTTTATTTTTTTTGAGCCTCCCTATGTCCTGGGCCTGGGACAAATGGCCCCTTTGTTCCCCCCCTGTCGGCGGGAGTGCAAACACTTAAAGTAACAGGAGGGATAAGGGCAGAAATGATGAAAGGAGCAGCCAAAAAGTTAAAATCTAAGTAAAATTTTCTTAAAATAATTGCATTTTTTCTTGAATTGAGCAGATAAGAGAGTTAATTTGCCAATGGAATAAGATAATTTATAATTTTCTTTTTGTCTCGTTCCATTGGCAAAGTGTCTCACTTACCTCTTCAATTCAAGAAAAAATTGAATTATTTTGAGGAAAAAAATAGCTTATTTAGATTAGAATTTTTCACAGTGTGGACAAATATTTTTAATAGGATAACCCTATCCATGATTGCTTTTTGGGTTTTTTTATGTTCCTGTATCTGTATTTTGTATTTTCATCTCTTTTTATTTATTTTTTGTATTATTTGTAAAGTGACCTTGAGTGTCAACAAAAGGCGCTGTTAAATAAAATGTATTATTATTATTATTATAACAAATAAAAACTATTTCTTGAACGGAAGAGCAGCTAGAAACACAACCTCTAGGTGAAACACGGTAGTGGCAGTGTCATGATGTGTGAGGACTTTTTTTCTGCTACAGGTGGGTTGGAACATTGGAAAGAATAGAAATCTAGATAAGTCACCTTTTCTTAAATTAAGTGCATTTGTTCTTGAATTGAGGAGATAGAAGAGACATTTTTGCCAACGGAACAAAACTATTTACATTTAAAATCAGAAAAGACAATTGCATTTTCTAATTTCAAGTGTATATTATCTAATTATCTTATTTCAAGAGTAAAAATAGTCATTCCACTGGCAAACTATCTCATCTATATACTCAAATTAAGGGTAAATACACTGAATTTAGGACATTTTTACTTATTTCTAGATCATTTTTCCAGTGAAGATGGAGCCGAATGAGGAAAAAAGGCCAAACGACCCGCAATGATGAAAAGATGTCCTTATGTTAGAACGGCCTAGTCAAAGTCCAGACCTAAATCTGTGCCAGGAGTTAAAATGTGACGTTCTGCGTCTGGTCTGACCGAGCCGATGGAAGAAAGGTCGTCTGATCAGCTTTACCTTCATTGATGATCTTCTTGGCAGCGACGGCGGAGGACAGGTGGATGGGCTCCATGAAGATGCTGGCGGCGTCAGAACCAGAAATCAGGGAAAACCTGGAGTCTGAAGCTGTGGAGAAGCTGCAGGAGAATCGTACCATAAACCACACAGAGCTGCTGAGGTTTCTGATGCTTCACCTCCAGCTGGATGGATTCAGAGGTTTCCATCCAGGTGGTTCCTCCTACCTGGGAGACGGGCAGCGCAGGTAATGAGCCTGAACTCCTCGCACCTTCTCCTCTTCCTCCTCCTCTTCACCTCCATCAGGTACGGTCTGGTCGCTGCGCTCTTTGCTTTCCTTAGGCGTCTCCATGGCAACCAGAATCCCTCCTTATCATAAGGAGAAAAAAAAGACCTAAATAAGGAGGCCTTTTATCACTTAAAAATCTTTTTTTTTTTACATAAACAATCATAAAAAAGAAATCAATAAATCCTTTTTTTTAAAAATTTGTAATAATTTGCTGATGAATCGTTTTGCCTACAGAAACTTTGAAGCAAAGATCTACATATATTTACATTTTTGTGCTATTTCTTACCGAAGAGGATTAGGGCCAATGAAAAAAACAAAATAAAGGTTAACTGATTTTTACATTTTATTACAGCTTGATAAGGGAAAAAAGTCAGAATTTTGAATTTAATCTCATAATTTTTACTTTAATCTCAGAATTTTGACTTTAATCTCATTGTAATTCAATTCTGACTTTTCACCGGGTCCCTGGTGATGCTATTTCATTAATGGAAGAGCAGAAGGTGATTAAAACAAGAGAGCTAGTCTCTAAAACAGACATGGCTACGGCTGGATGCTAACATAATTGTTACCTGTTAGAATTCAGTCAGAATTATGAGATTAAAGTCAGAATTCTGGGATTAACATCAAACTTCTGAGAAAAAATTCAGAATTCTGAGATTAAAGTCAGATCTCTGACATTTTTCCCATATTAAACTGAAATAATATTTAAAAATCAATTCACTTTTTTTATTTTTCCGCGGCCCTAATCCTCTTCCGTAATTTCTCCATATATTTAACAAGCTAAAATACAAACATATTAAGAGATTTAAATCACATCGAATACAGAATACAAAAATTTAATAAAAGATGAGTATCTACATGCAATAAAAAAAAAAAAAAAACTTTGGAAATCCAAAAGAAAAAATAACCAATCCAGCTCCTGTAACTGATTGATTCTGTTGTTTCCTGTTAAATAAATTAACCATAAATGCAATGAAATAAATGTATACTTGATTAGCAATAAACAAAATAGAATAATTTAAAGCTTAAAAATAACATTGTTACAATACCAAATAATTCTATACAAAGTTACCTGAAAAATAAAAGATTACAAAAACAATAAAGTGGAAAAACATCATTCCAAAGTGATCACAAAGTAAAATA